ACTCCAACCGACGACGGCTTCTAGACCCGAAACAGGACCGTATCAGTTATTTGTGGTTATCTAATCTAGGTCTTCTTCCACCTCATTTTACATTCCGCTTTTAATATGTCTCTAGTTATCATTTCATCTCTCATAAGGTGTTCTAGTATCTATAGTTCATTTTCTCTCTAATCGCTACATCTGCATGGGATTACTAGGGATTTTTTACAAATGATTCATTAAAAAACGGTCGCTACACTCGAACTCGGCGTTATATCCGAATTCGCTATAGCCATATGAATTTTACACTAAAGTATGGTTTAAATTCAAACGACGTCGCTATAGCAAAATGATCGTTATAACAAGGTCGTAATAAATGAAATTCACTGTATTTTATAATACTTAGATACCAACTCATTATTTTATGTAAATGTTTAATCAAATTAAAAAAAAAAGAAAGTGTTTCCGCCCGGGATCGAACCGGGGACCTTCCGCGTGTTAGGCGGATGTGATAACCACTACACCACGGAAACCACTTGAGTTTGCGAGTGGATATTAATAGAACGAAAATAAAATGGCGGACAATTTGCATAAGCTGGATAATAATATTTTGTAAATGTTAGCTCATATAAGCCTGACAAACTAAAATGATGCTGAATTAACTGATTAGAAAATCTAAAAAAAAAAGTTAAATGACAATGAAAAATCTTGTAAAAGGCAGATTATATGGTTTAATCGCCAGACATTACGAAGTTTCTTATTTCAGCATATCTAGAACTCAATTGTATACTCATACATTTCCGTGTTTTTTTAATCTTCACAGACAGCATTTTTTCACGTTTATTTGTATTTGATCACCGACTACCACTGTTGTAATTACTTTCAGAGTAACAAAAACTAGAAATCGCATGATCAATAAGTTTTGATGTTTGCGTATTATAATTCTAATATAGTACCTAACATGTTAGAGTTATAACAAAAGCAGTTCGTCAATTATATTTTTTTATCCTAGAGGTGATGCACTTGAAAATACGATAAAAGAAAGGCTTCCTTACATAAGTATGCCACATCGGATTTAATCTTGACAATGAGAAAGAACGAATGCTTGAAACATTTCGTCCCCTTGGCAATTAGCTATCTCTTATTTGTTTGAGAGCTCTCGTGTTTTATTTCTGGCTAAGTAGTAAGACATTAAATTATTACGTTGTTTTCGTTGAAATGGTCGGTACAGTAGGTAAAGGTGATGCCAAACGGCAAGCAAGCAGTAGTCTTATGATAAAGACCGTTTTGCATTCAAAGGAGACTGAGAGGTTGACTGCCTTTCACAAAGCCTTCGCTTTCTCTTCATTTCGCTTCTGCAAACTTGGACTTGGATTAACAATAGTCTCTCAAAGTGTATATTTCCACAATGTGGATAGCAATTAGTCGGTTTCGGTGGTTTGTCAAAAGGACGTGGTTTCGGAGCAAATTGAATTATTCTTAGGATACAGAAACAACATGGCTCGGTCCTCTGGGGAAATTAGATTCCATCAACTGCTACTGCTGCTGCTGCTGGTGCTAATGCTGATGCTGATGCTTCTCTATTGCTGATGCGCCACCACCATCTCCACCATCACGGCTCACAGCTCTCTGTCTCTCTCTCTTCTTCTGAAATGACGATGTAGTGTCGCACTTTACTAGTAGGTATATCTGCTGGTACAGGNTTACTACACTAAATTATTTGTTAATTGGATATAGTATTTTTCAAAAAATGATACTGCCCTCTAATGATTATATATAAAAGAATATTTGTATGTTTTGTTCTCAACTCGCCACTACTGCATAATAATTTTATTATAAATGCCCAAAGAACATTTTATTGAATTATGATTAAATTGAATTTTGTTTGCTTTACTATATAATACTTTCAGTCAAGTCCCATTTTATGAATTAACAAAAGCAAAAACGGGCTTTAATTGTTATACAAAACAATAAAACAATAATTTCCTCGCAACACGGTGTTTTCGCCAGTAAATAGGTAGGTAGGTTTTAATATTCATCAATTTTATATTTGTTGGAAAATAAAAGGGTAAAGATCTAGATGACGGCCCCCACCCCCCCGAAGGGGCGGGGGTTTGGGATCGAAAGTGGGTGGACACCTGAGTAAAACCCCATAAAAATTTGTAGCGGTATCACCTCTATAAAAAGTTATGGGGTTTGAAAGTTGATTATTTTGACAATTTTCATACATTATAATTCAAATAAAATTCAATAAAAAAATTATTTTCAAGCGAGTGGAGGTGAGGGATCGAAAGAGGTTGGTCACTTGAATGAAAGTCGATAACAAAACCTAACCTAACCTATTGATAAAGATATTTANCAGAAGATATAGCAGTATTAGCATATTGCAAGGAGGAGTTAAATAGCTTTACATAAAATGGAAGCGGTATTGACAAAACATTACTGTATGAAAATAAATAAAAGTAAAACAAAAATACTGGTATGCAAGAGAACAAAAAGTAGGGAAAAAGCGAATATAAAGATAGGAGACGAAAAATTAGAAAAAGTGGTTGATTTTAGATATCTAGGAAGTCAGATAAGTCAGGACGGAAGGAGTAGTAGGGATATAAAGCAGAGAATAGCGCAGGGTGGTGTCGCCTTTAATAAAAAGAAGTCACTTCTATGCTCGCGAACGGTTAATTTAAGAATTTGAAAAATGTTGTTAAAGGTGTGTTTGGAGCACGGCGCTGTATAGGTGCGAAACATGGACAGTGGGCGCGGCGGAAAAGAAAAGGTTAGAAGCATCCGAAATGTGGTGTTACAGGCGAATGATGGGGATACCGTGGATAGAGAATGTCAGAAATGAAGAGGTATCAGAAAGAGTAAGAGAACAGAGGACTCTATGGAAGTCAATAAGAAATAGGCGAGATAGGTTAGTAGGACACCTTTTCAGGCATGAAGGTCTAGTCAGAGACTATTAGAGGCAGAAACAGAAGTTAGGAGAGATAAAGGTAGACCTAGATTAGATTACTGTTCGCAAATAGTTGAGGATATAGGTCGTTCTAGTTTTAGGGAAATGCGAAGATTAGCTCAGGATAGAAGAGTGGAGGTGCATGTCCAACCAATCTTAGGACTGACGACCTTATGATGATGATGATCGACGGGAAAATGGTGGAAAAAATTTTTGTCGGGTCATTTTTTGACGTCAAAAATTGGAAAGAAAATGTGGAGTATTTTAAGTAAATTATACCATCAAAGTCAAGCGGTTAAGCCGTCATTTTATATCGAAATGGACCTAGATTCTGGCTATACATCATATAAGAAAAAATGCTCTAAATAAATTAAAAAGCGACAGAAGGCTGGGATGTCATGGTTCTTTCGATACCTAACTATAAGTAAAACCGTCCAGTAACGTGGCAGCACGATAGTATTTGTCCAAATTATGCATTTATTTAATGGTAAGATAAAAAATCTAAATAAATGATGTTGCTCTTCAGCTTTCATTTATAAATTTAAAATCGATGTAAATGAAGCTTTATGCTTACATTCAGCATCTTTATGGATTCAAAATGGCGGACAAGAATGTTTAGAATTTATTATGAGTTCTAGTTAAGTGTGTTTAAATTAGTCAAACATTTTACAATGTGTACCACAGATACTAGCAAGTACTACTAGATAGGGACATACCCTCCATGCCTTGATTTAGCAGAGGTTTAGCTAGACAATTTATTGAGAAATACTAATTTAGTATCTTCCATGGTGATCTTTCGAGTTTAATATCTACTGTTTTTAACTTCAGTTGGTATTGATCAGATTGCACTAGGTGCACACTATGTTAAAGGCGCATACGCACTCTTAAAATAATAATACATAAATAGACGAGTGTTAAGTGGAACAATAGTATGAAGATTCTATACAGTAGGTTCACTCTGCAGCCACGCCCATACATCCCTCTCCTGCCATTGCAATTGTCATTAGTAAAACTTATGATTAAAATACATCACACAGTAATGTTCTACCGTATTAAACGTTTGTAGATTGTGCGTAATTACTCAGTTAATCGTGGGTAAACCAGTCGTAAATTGCATACCTATTTCGATTAGAAATTGTAAAAATACGACAAAAGGTGCGTGAAATGCTATAAAGGCCAGGAATTTGTAAAATTTTATCTAGCTTTAAGCGGTTTAAAAGATAGATACTAGCGAATGAAAAAAGTTTTTATCCTGTAATCAAATCATACGTATCTAAATGTATCTACCCCCTTTCCTAGGTTTAGTTTACCATTAAAATGGACGATCACAAAACAAAATTAATAACGAGAATTTTTGTAGTGCATTAATTTTTTAATTAATTATTACAATAGATAACCTCAAATTAATGAGGAAAAAATGTTGCTGTTGTCATGCCCTCACCGGGAATCGAACCCGAGTCCCTGGCTTTAGAACAACTTTGAGACAGTGAGAATTTCATATGAAACTTTGTAGGGTTTTCAACACATTAAAATGAATTAATTTTCACCACTAAAGATAACCTCAAATTAATGAGGAAAAATTGTTCCTGCTGTCACACACTCGTAGCTTAGTAGTAGAGCAATGATGGGTTAAGGCCGGGGGCCCGGGTTCGATTCCCGGCAGGGTCTTGACAGCAGCAACAATTTTTCCTCATTAATTTGAAGTTATCTGTAGTGGTACAAATTCATTCACTTCAATATAAAGAGGAATTAATTAACGAGCTCATTTGCGATATCTATAGGATAATCAAAGATCGCCAACTTTGATGTAATCCAGATGGAACTAAACAATTGCAAAAAAGTGGGCGGGTTTAAATGACTATATTCGGTATTTTTCATTGTGTTCAGTCAGACCTAACCTAACCTTAAGACATTAGCTTATAATTTGAGAAACGTCGTTTAAGAAACATGACCCCTAAATTAAATGATAACAACTTAATTAAAAATCTATGGACATATTCGATTACCGATATTGTATGAAGAAATACTTCTCCGACTATGCAATAATAATTACGTAAAATAGGTACCTTACCTGGTCATGAGGCATTTTGCCCCAACCGAGCCGTTTGTGTAAGAGGTAGAAAGGAATAAGTAATCCAATTCACAATAAACAGCAATTGTTATTCTCAACACGTGCGGGATGTCATACACTACATAAACGAAACCGCGTCTGTACACACAATTACAATTTTTTATTACAATAGTGACAGTTGCACGCGTTACGAATTAGGACAAGAATAATAATAGATCGCTCTCTGGCTGTACTTATTCAATGTACTTTCGGAGACGACGAAGACGCAACTCCGAGAAGTGGTTGCAGTCACGGTCAACGCGAGACGGAGTCTTTTTCGCGGGCCGCTTTCGACGAATCACAATTTGTATTGCACAAAAAGTAGGCGGTGCTGGATAACACTTGACTCCAACACGCTGCCGACGTCGATTATTATTGCGGAGGATGATAGCGTCGCAAAAATCTTGAATGAGCAATGCGCTCCAATTAATCACGCAATTGAAAAAGTTAATTGAACTACTGAACTACTGAACAGTGAACATAATACCTATATCAGTACTTTCATCTCACTTTCTTACTTACAATTAGATAACATTAATATTCCCTGCACCTAGATTATGCCACATTGCTAAAAATACTCTATGACCACGAATGTATTTTATTATACAGTAGTATTGTTGTCACTGCCTTCTGTTAACTTACTAACTAGACTAGAGCGATTGCTGTTAGAACGCCTACTTTTATTTACGATAGACGTAGAGAATATTGTAAGCACAGAAAAGAGATGTCAGGTAAGAATTGCAGCGGACACTAATAAAGAAAAGGAATAACATTACACCAATTGATGTGTAAGAGAAAGAGATGCAGACAAGCAAAATTTGAGCATGTTGCCCGCACCGGACTTCAAAGAAAGTTCTACATTCTCTGGAATTTAGGAAAACAAATTATTATCTAGGGTCGATTGAAAGAGGTCTTCCTGAGTAAACCACCACAAAAAGTTTGCGGCGGTCACACCCCCATAAAAAGTTATAGGGTTGCAAAGTTCTGTAATTTTCCAATTTTCATACACTATAAAGTCTAATAAAATTTAATAGATTAC